GCCGCTTTGGGTCATGGGTACGTAAATTGCCATGACTCCCTGACAAACGACTATTAGCTCAGTACCTTACGAATACTAATGGGTTCTACTTACACCTTCGCTGTGGCCGAGGAGATCAACCTTGTTAGCACCGGTCTTGGTCTTGACCTCCTTGATGAAGGCTGCGACTTCCTTGGCGCTCTCCCTCATGGACTTGAGACCTCCAATCCAGGGCACGAGGGTGTGGGCTCCGTAGGTCATACTGAACACGCAGTAGCCTGCATCCGTCAAGTTCCAGCCCAATGTGTTGAGATCTACTTCGCGGTTGGCGGAGAGACCGTGGAGCATAATGAGAGGGTTGGGATGCTTTTCACTTCGACAATTGAAGTTGTTATCGACCGCGCCGTACAAAGGGTTCTTCAGAAGGTCCGACGGCAAAGACCAATCAATGGCCGAAACCTGCGAGCTGAGCGCAAGCACGGCGGCGACGCCCTTGATGACACTAGAGATGGAAGGCATGTTCGGTGAATAGAATAAAAGAAGTGAGGATCAACAAATTTGCACCAGGCAAGAATTAGGAAGAGAAGATGCTAGGAAGGACAGTGGAGAGAGAGGAGACTGCCAGTATTTAAGCTTCAACACCGGAATCCTCCAGAACTTGTGACTCTAAAATTACTCGGGACTGAAGAGGAAGAGGATGGCGATCCTAGCCCCCACCGTGTCACTACCGGCAGCTGTCAAGTAAATTTATCCACGTCCCGGCCAATGCGGAACCACTTTTCATCTTGAATCTCCGAGAACAAATCCTGAGTGGCTAGAATACGGTCGGGACTTAAAAGAGTCAGGGGTAATTGTTAGTGGCACAGTCAGCTGTATCCCTGTGACGGAGAGCTCAGGCACCACGATGGTCATGGCTTGTCTTAAATCGTGCGTACCCTGTACTATCTTGGTGTTAGAGGAATATGAATTAAAATCATCACAATGGGCTATAGTGAAAGTGATAAGGGTACGCTTAAGCGTTTAGATCAAGATTGTAAGTTTAGTCTGTCGTTTTGACTGTTACCTCTTGAAAATACCTAATTTTAACAATTGTGCTACCTATACGCCATTGCGATGGGGAAAATAAACAAGGGACCCCAGACTTTACAAATAATTGTAACAAAGTTCAGTCATTCAAAATCATGCAGAAAGACTTAAGAGACGTTTCCACGTCTTTCGCAAAGCCGCCATAGGACGAAGGGTAACTGGCACTATACTTGTAGTTTTGAAATCGATCCGAGGGTAAAGTATCGAAACGCGGTCTCTTTTCGATCGTCAGATACCCGTGAAAATTCCAACTTCTGCGATTTGCAGTAATTGTGGAGCCATTAAAGATCTCGAGGTAGATTTTCTTTCTCGTTTCGATTGGATATTTATGCTTTGGAGCCTGAGAAAGAATTCACTTGACGAGAAATCGTGCCTGGTTGTCTCAGTATTGGTGAACAGGGATTGTCATTGTGGCCAAAAACAATACTGAATACGCCAAACGCAAGCAACCTTCTGCCACGTGAAACAACATCGGCAAAGGCGGGATCCATGGGTATGCATTTCACGCAAGAGAAGATGGATTGTGGCAAGTGAGGTTGGGAAACGAGATTGCCAGATACAGATGATGAATGCAGACCACGCTTGCTCGCTCGCCGCGCGTTTTTTGCCACTAAGGTAGGTAGGCACGCGTTTGTTAAGGCGGTATGAAAGCAAACGTGAATGGAAATCAGGCGAGACAATGGTCAGCAAGCACTCATAGTGAGTGAAAAGTGAGAATTGGCGCGTTGTGCGGCACGTGGCTGGAAAAAACATGGCACAACCAAACCTCCATCGAACTTTGAACTTCAATACAATATCAATCAAGATAAATTGTCAGGTTGCAAGATGTTGCGTGATTCTGAGGCGCGCTCGTGATGTTTGTGGATTGGTGTTTGAAGGAATTGCGCTTTATGCTGAGTGGAGATGCCTATCAAAATCAATAATCGAGCAATAAACACAATAGCAAACTAAATATTTGAAATAATTGATTTTTTTTGGCTATTGTTGTATTTGGGATAATAGGTAGAAAGGAGAATGAGGTCACTAGTTTGCAGGGAAAGAGGTCTGGTGTGCGAGTGGGAAACAATTCCTCGCTCCCAAAGGAAAGTCATATTGTAATGAGGTAATAAAATAAGTCCATTGAGTCTGACATGGTATTAGGTAGGTAGATACTTTTGCAGTGAATGTTCAGGTCTTTACTTGTCTGAAACCGACCTTAGCAGTCATCGATGGTACACTCGTATGGGGGAATATCTCGATGTTTGGCTTAATATGCCGATGAAGAGCAGATTCCGTAGGACTCTGATGAGCGTAGAATTCAACAGGGCATCGTCACACAATAACAGCCTCAATTTTTGGCTCCAGCATGTTTTCTTTCAGTGGTTTGTGTGGGCAGATTCGCTACAGTGGCTAACGGTCCGCTGAGTGTTTGTTGACCTTTGAGCCACCACCACCGCCCACCCTCCCACCTTTCTCCCTCTTCCCCCCCAGTTTCTCACTTCTTTCTTTTCTTCCTTCTGCATCACATCGCCAGTTCATCTCGCCATTGCATTGCAGTGGCCGTTTTTACTCTTCTCTCTGCCTTGTGTCCATTTTATGGACAGTAGACTATCGCCTGCTCGCCTGCTCGCCCTCTCGCCCGCCAGCCCGCCTCGAGAAAGAAGGCAGTTTGCTGAGGCAGCTGTTCTTTTTTTTTCGCCCTTCTTCGCGTCGTTCGTCCCTCGTCTCGACAGAAAGCAGTTTGCTGAGGCAGCTGTCTTTTCTTTTCGTTTCGTCTCGTCTGTTGCGACCCTGATAGCCCGGCTATCTGAACCGCTCGCTTCGTGCAGCGGCTTCTTTTTCTTTGGTATGAAGCTACACAAAACCCAGACGCGTATCTCTAACTAACGAACCAGCAGCCTCTCCTCGCCTCTCCCGCGCGATTGAGCTGCCTTTCCACGTCGTTCCTCGCCCCTCTCAAGAAGGACCAGTTTGCTTAGGCAGCTGGTATTTTCAAGAGACTACCTAGGTATGCGACATCCCGCAAGAAAAGATCAAAAACAACGATTTCAGCTAACAGGTCAATTAGTCTCTTATGTCTCAACCATTGACCCGAGTTTCTGCACCAAAGGCCCCAATGAACTTGTCGAAGGCTGCCTTGGTGGTGGTGAACCATCCCACCACCCCTTCCAAGTTTATTGGAGGTGACGGCTTGGACCTCTCGACTGAGGTGTTTGTCGCCCTGACTCTGATGAGAAACCCTGGCCGGGAGATGTATGTTGGGCTGAGCATCCAGTTCCCGCTTTGCCGGGCAGAGAAGCTGGATTCTTCTGGCTTCGGTGTCTCCTACACAAGTAAGTCCGAGGTCCTCTACGCCATTAAGTCTGAACTTCGAGATACTAACATTGCGGTACCAGCCAACACAGGCACCGCTGAGGGTGTGGAACTGGCACAGCGTTACAAACTCATCGTCAAATTCCCTCGCGAGGGTCTCACCACCACTGTCTCCAGCGTTCCGAGCGACCTTGCCATCCACCTCCCCGCCAGTGTGCGAGACAAATGCTGCCTCCTCAAGGTGAACATGGACAACGCCGATGAAATCCGCATTGACGGCCTCGGGATGCCACGATTGAACTCTGGTCATGAGTGTGATGCGTGGCTCCAAGGATCACCAGTCGTCGGCAACCTCACTCTGCTCGATATCCTCACGTCCCCAGAGCAAAGCTTCATCGTCAAGTTCAAGGGTGAAGTCTTGGAAAAGGAGCTGAAGACTGACAACTGGCCGGCCCCCTTTGAGTACCCATGGGGCGACACGCATTTTTGGGACAAGGACAGGTTTAGACGGCAGGCGGAACAGAACCCTGGTAGTAGATTCTTTCCAGCATGGAGCTTCGCCACAGACAATGACCATGCTGCTGTTCTGACACAATCCCTTGCCCAAGACATTGTCTGGGTAGATGATGCTGCCAGACGCCTTTCCGACATCCGGCTTCGAGCATACGCCGCCGAATCTCATGGCTCCCGTGCGTGGACCTGCCTTGTTGTGTCATGCGATCAACAATTCAGAGAAACGTTCAAATATGCTTGTCGTCGCCTGGTCCACTGCCGTCTCTTGGTCGTGTTCTTCGACGAGAGGGGCAACGAGCGTTCGATACGGCGCGCTGAGATCTGCGAGAACCCTGAGATCCTGGGTGTCATGCGAAATTACCCCATCGCAGAGCATGAGCTGGTCCTTCGCATGTCTCCGGAGGCCGAGGATGAGAACCTGGACGAGGACTTGGATGAGGTTGGGTTGCCAGAATTCAAAGTCAAGATCTTCAGAGAGCGAAGACTTGCTCTGCAGGCTCTCAGGCAGTCTAGCAGCAACTGGAATGTCGTTTCTCTCAAGTTCCATGTTGAAATTGAGGAACACGAGAGAAAGTGCGATGCCGTCAACGAGATGTTGCCAGGAAGCCGCCCCAGTAACCCAAGTGTGTTCGGCTTGACGGTGCCTAAACGCGACATCTACGCTCCGCTGGTCGGCAGACCCGAAATCCGCGAACATGTCGCGGAGCGTCAGAAGCTGGCTCGCGCTGTTATCCGCGGCACTGGCTTCCATCGGCTTGCGTTGGAACAACCTTGGCCCAACTATAAGATGAGCGGTACGTTCCCTGGCCTCCCCATGGTGAACCTCTTCCGGTTTGAGAATGAGGCCGAGCGCAATGCCGCCCTGGAGTGCATGTTGCCAGGCGACCGCGAAAGATTCCCGAAGTATCTTTCCAACCGCCATCTTGGCCTGGCCATGATCACTGCTGTAAGTCAACCGATATCTGTCATTCCTGTCTGTTTTTCATTGCACAATTGCAAAATCTGCTTTATTATTGTACAATATTGTCTACTGTTCATTGAACAATAGCACAATTTGTTTATTATTGCACAATATTGTCTACTTATCACTACACAATATATTATTATATTCCGCTAACTTTTATTACCAGGGCCCAGGATTCGGAAAGACGAGAGCTCTGGCCGTGGCGTCCTACGGACTGGTCAGAAGCGTAGGGCGGGTGTATATGTCGGCCCCGACCAACATCGCCTGCGACAATGCCGCCGACCGTCTGATGGACGTCAGTACAGATGTCACAAATCGCCTCAACGCCAATCTCCAGCCAGGCGATGAGCCGCTCCGTCGCCTTCTGGTAGTCCGTGGGTACAAGCGAGAGGATGAGCTAGCTGCGTTCATGAGAATCCTCCAAAGCCCCGAGGCCGTCACCGATGCCACCCCCAGGCCCCATAGCAAGCATGAGTCCCATTGGAAGCTCGGCAACTCGATCGCCTTCTGGCTCCTCAAGGTTCTTGGCTCTCCCGCCGTCCCAGCGCTCCGACCCGACGACTGCTCCCGGCTCCATGAGGCCCAGCGCAGCTTCGAAAAGAACAAGAGGCTGAAGAACCTCATCAAAGTCGCCAGGATGGAAATGACCTGGGAGCAGTACGTTGATGCTGGTGACAACGTCGAAGACACCCACATCCAGGGCCTGATGAGGCAAATCGTCAACTCGGCAGACGTCCTCTGCACCACCCCGTCCGAGGCCAGCAAGCACCCCTGTCTGAAATGGAAGCTGGAGCAAGCCCGCGGCTTTGCCATCGACGAAGCTGCCTGCATGAGCAGGCCAGACTTTTACTCGGTCTGGGGCAACACCATGATGCCCTGTGTCATGGCAGGCGACCGTCTGCAGCTGGATGTTTCGGTCAGGTCCTTCAACGATGCGATCTCCTATAGCGATGGCGTGTACCGGAACCGCCACGGGCCTGACGCCCGAATCTCCATTATGGAGTTTTTGCAGGCGTCCGGATGGCCCATTTTCAGATTGCACACGCAACTCCGCATGGCCAGGGGCCTTTTCACCCTCTCCCAAGAGGTCATTTACCCAGAGTTGCGTGCCCAATACGGCGTTAGGTGCGATATATCGCTCCCTGGCCATGCATCTGGCCGTGCCATGGAGGCCTTCATGCTGCGCAAATTCCCGAATGTTCTCAGGCCATCCCCCAAAGGCACCCTGCGTGAGGTATTTGTCCACTGCCCAGACTCCCGGGTCATAGTGAACCCTATGACCAAGTCCAAGTCGAGCCCAGGCCAGGTCAGGATCGCACTTCGCCTCCTCGACGAGCTTGTTCGGGATACGCAGGCTCGGGGTACTCGAATTAACCCATCGGAGATCGCCATTATCGTTCTCCATTCAGCCAATGTAGAAGTGGTTGAGCACCAACTCAAGCTATATGCCTCTCTGGTGGGTAAAGTCGTGGTATCAACCGTTGAGTCGATCCAGGGCAAAGAGAGACCTATCGCGCTGGTCATCCTGGGGACCAACGAGACAACGGGACCAGGATTATCTAAGGAACCCAGACGCTTCAATGTCGCAATATCACGACATACGTCTTTCCTTCTCCTCGTCGGAGACATCAACGTCGCTGGAAACTTTCGCAGCGGCTCATCCACGACCAACGCGCGCGGTCGAGGTGGAGGACAAGGAGGACGAGGAGGACGTGCAGGTAAAATAGACCTCTGGAAGTTGGCCGGGCAGAGGTTCCTTGTCAGGAATGAAAATGGAGAGTTCGAAGATCAGGCCGCCCAAAAGTTGAGGGCCATCTTAATCCTCATGCATCGGGCTGGGCGTGTTGTGACGGTTGCTGGGGAGGTGTAGATACCAGCTTTAAAGCCTCAATGAAAGTCGTCGTTCTATCGAACAGTTTCTTGTGATGATCCAATCAAGTTGATAGAATTTCAGGTGCACTGATTTACCCTGATGAAATATGCCCATTCTCTAGACAAGCAAGTGGTTGTCAGAAAAACAGGGACTACGAAGTCACCTCGACAGAATTATTGTGGCAGGCAGTCATATGATAGTGCTTCCTATTATGTAACAATAAGCAGAGAGGATTCCCAAATAATTACGGAATAACTTTTTCTTATTGTTATTACTAGAAATTGTCTATCAATACTGTGGCCTCTATTATAAACTTGGAATCCAACCCTTCGACGCCAGCATTCTGAAGCCACAGGTCGAGCGGCCACAGCTCCATATCGAACTCTGGGACAGGCGGTTGGGGTGTGATTGTCTCGTCTGAATGGCCGTACCATATAGAGTACCCTAGCGATGAATGAACTCGCCAGAATGGATGGTTCTGCGGCACTAGAGCAAGCTATTCAAGAAGTTTTGGCCATACTTCTGGGACCCAGTCGAAATTTGTAAAATTGGTGAATCATCCAGCCTGTCATAAGCAACCTCCTCCTAGGTAGCGGTTGGCTTTAGCTCTTTGATGCGCTGGATCTCCCTGCAGTAAAACTTTGCTCCCACATACATCAACCGATGGACGTCGACCCAGTACTCCCCAAGGCCCGCTTGCTCAGCATCGTCGCTACACCAACCTTTCATGGTACGATGCCTCTCGATGGCTCCCCCGCAGGTATCTACCCAACTCCAACCCAGCACAATAGCTTGAGGTCTTGACGAGATGTAGACTCGTTGTAAGACATCTTGACGGCTTGATGGGTTGTCTTGTCGGAGAGGAGGTTCACTCAGTGGGACAGATGAATCTGTAAAAGATCGACTGCACGAAGCGAGTCTATGTTGAGACTATTAGAAGATCGACTGCACGAAGCGAGTCGATTGTTGAGACCACCTACAGACCGAGACTCCTGTGACGAGGGGATTCCGAATCTCCCAAGGGAAGACGAGGGCGAGCCACGAAAGAAACGACCGGCTGCACGAAGCGAGCCGGTCCTTCGCTGGAGTTCTTATTCTACCGGCGCAGAGCCTGGGCGCGAGGGCGAGGGGGACGAACAAGGCCGAAAATGTCGGCGCAAAAGTCGACACGGCGATAAAAAGGGGCCACGATGGGACCGCGCAAAAGAGAAATCGGAGCCGAAACTCCACGAAACGGGCAATTGGGACTAGAATTCTTGCTACAGAAGAAAAAATGAAATATAAACAAATTGAAAATTTGTCCGGACTCTTTATAGATATAAGCTTTGCTGGTTTGTTAGTATGGATGCTTGTCAAATATTTCTCCATTGTTTCATACCGAAAACTAAAGAATCCGTAGCACGAAGCGTACAGATAGCGACGTCTAAAACGAAGCCAAAAAATCGACTGCACGAAGCGAGTCGGTTGCGTCCGGGGAGAGAGAGCGAACGGCGACGACGAAACAACGAACCGACTGCACGGAGCGAGTCGGTCGTGTCGAATCCGAGGGGAGAGGGACCGAGCGGCGGCGACGAAACAACGAACCGACTGCACGAAGCGAGTCGGTCGTGTTCGAGAGGAGGGGTCGGCGAGGCGAGGCAGGCAGCTCAAGATGATTCCGAGGAATCATAAACACGCGGCCAGCGAGAAGAGAAGGCGAGGCGGCGAAGAGAAGAACGAAAACGGCCACTGCAATGCAATGGCGAGGTAACTGAAGATGTGATGTAGAAGGAAGAAAGAAGAGGGAAGAGGGAAATTGAGAGAGGGGGGATGAAGGTGGGTAGTGGTGCTTGCTGGCCATTGTCTACTGGGAAGGAGCAAGAGCAGGAAGGAACGAGGGACAAGACTCAGTGTCCAAGATCTAGGGTCGACCTCACTTCAAAATATGATAAATGTCCCATTCATTAATATACTTGCTAATATATTTGCTAATTACTTGTAGTACGGTAAAGTTTCGTTTCTCATGGTAGTACAGTATTTTTCATACTAAATCTTACATAACGATCCAAGCTTTCCAAAGAGGTCTGCATACTTTCGTTTGACTTGCTGTCCTGCGCACGAATGCGCGATCTCTTCTAATGTCCCAAGATGTGTCTGTGATGTTGCATTGAATGCGAGGTTGTTTTTCGGAAGTATGCGCAGTTGTGTTTCAGATGTTTGTGGAGGAGAAGAAATACCGGCCTGCCGCCTATTGTGCGAGGAGTTTTGGCGGCCTTCCTCTTTTTCTCGCAGACTTTCCAACTTACGTTCATTCTGCCGCAATTGAAATTCGCCATGAGCCGCAGTCAAGCGATCCACGATCCGCTGATTGGCAGACCCGAGGACCGCCCATGTCGCCAAACGCCAGAAGCTGGCTCGCGCTGTCATCCACGGCAAAGACTTCCATGAGATTTCGTTGGAACTTTGGAACGACCTTGGCCCGGCCACGTCATGGAAGGCACATTCCCGCGTCTCCCAACGGCGAACCTTTTACGGCCCGGGAATGACGCCGAGCGCAGTGCCGTCTTGGACCGCATGTTGCCAGGACAGAGTTGAATCGCGTGGGCACCGCTTCAAGGGTGAAGAAAGAGGTGCGACCCCAGGGAGGTGGCGAGCCTGAGGCTTACATTGTAATGCCTGGTAGGCACAAACACGTGTGGCGGTTTTTGTCGCCAGGCCTCAAAAAATACTAATTCCGTCGCTATTTGAGATTCAGTACAAAGGACAACAAGCAAAAACCTTGAATATACCCCTACCTATTTCGAATTTGTACTCTCATAAAGGCAGTATATACTAATATAAATTACTTTATATTGACCTAGCTGAAATACACAGAACTGGATCTACTGTTTATACCCAGTTATAACCTGGGCGGCTATATAAACTGAGTATGTTTTATATAGTACTTCCCAGGGTGCATTGTTGTCATCGGACGCACGGTAACGCAGTTACGCAGTGGTCCGATGGCAATACCTGACTCGCTTCGTGCAGTCTGGTCAAACCCTTTTTGCAGGCGTCCGGTGTTCGAACCCCAAGTCTGCATTGTAGTAGTCTGTTTTTTTTTCTCTTCCTCTTTTGATATTCTAAGTATAATATCTATACGCTTCTCTATTGTCTTGATTACTTCTACCTCATGAACTATACGGAGTAGCGCATCAATCAATCTTTAACGAATAGGTATTAGCAGAGCCTGCAGCCATCCCCAAATTCCCATTCTTATTCAACAGCACTCTTTCCAAGCTCCCTAATTTACTGTGTTGAACGCCTAATACTAGAGCGTAATATTGATGTATCACTGCCTTTGTGACTCATGCGGATGGTTACCTATGTTACTAATAGCCCAGGAGTTGTATCTTGACCTCAGATCTCTCCTGTCGTCCTAATAAAAAAAGCGCAGGCTCAGTCGGATGTTCGATTTTGGCAAGTAGTCGGCTTGTGTAAAGCGAAGGTGGTGATGTGCGAGATAAATAACTTTGCGGACGACGGCCTCCAAATAGGCAGAAAGCAGCTTTTTTGAGACATGGGAAGGGAAGGGAGTCACGCCAACGGAAGAGTCATCATGCCGGGAATAAACCTTATAGCTGGGCAAAGAGACAGAAGTTTCATGACCTATGAGTCTGGGTGTCGCGTTGAGTTAACGCTTTGGAGAGTTTGAATTTTTTTCTCGTTTCTTTTCTTCTCAGAAGTTGCCGCTGGACTGCATCGATCTTTGAGCGAGTACCACATTGAGGTCGAGTACATTCCGGTCCATCTACAAATACTCGAGCGACTCAGGCCTTACAGGCTAAGTTTTCGTTAACACTAGTAAGACTTTCAATTGATGTATTTGTATGAGGGGGGTGGGCTTGCTCGTTTCCGGTATCTCCTCTTGTATTTGTCCTCAAGGTTGCCTTTGGATATTCAAGTTAAAAGATTTACCCTGATGATATATCCACCGATGATTGGTTAGGTTCTAGTAAATCTTCGCCTTTTTACCCTCGCGAGTTACATTCGATATTGCTTTTGCCCGCTCTCTATTGAATGTGGTTAATTTGACGCTTAGGCTTTCGGAGTCGTTATGCGCAGGGCACGGTGGGTTTTTGAAATCGACAGAGTAGTTTTGTCAGAAAGCCATAAAGGTTCTCACGAGCTCACGCATCCGAAGGCGGGTGTCGGATCTGTAATATATTTAACTGAGCAAATAAGCTTAACGACGTAGAGACGAATGGGACAGCAAGCACTATACCTAAGAGAGGGCACTCAAAATGTGCCGTCACGTTTCGGGGCACTGGGATTCTTAGCTCTGAGTTGTGCAAGGGATTCGTCGCTATTGGGTAAATCGAGCAGAGGGCCTCGTTCGGGGCGCGACTTGGAAGTTTCGGGATTGGGTGTATAATTTTGATTCCATGAGTTGGAGACTTTTTACTGCACAGCTGATATAGCTCTCTGGGGAAGTAGAGTAGTAGCTGTGAAAAGTACCTTGAATATGGAATGCAATACTCCAGAGGCAGCCAGCCTTTCATTCTCAAGCTTGGTGAGTCGATAACAAAGCTTTGCCTACAATATTAACGTCTTCTCTATAGCGAAGCTACAAACACAATGTTTGTATGTAGTTGGCTTCTTGGGGTCGATGGATGGGGTATTATAGGACGACAGCGGTAGGATTGGCAGGATTGCCTGACGACTTATCGTGTGAATGCACGACCGGATTGGCTCTGAATAATTGAAAAACACTTTGGAATTGGTGATAGCCAAAAAAGTGAGTAAGTAAAACCGAAAAAAAACTTGGAGTTGGTTCCGAATTCCAACGCAGTACGCACAAAGCAATACCCACCGCCACCACATTCTCGCTCATATCGCCTTAGCCTTTAGGTAAACATGAGGGCGAATGCCGCATTATGTATGCAAAAAGCGAATACCACGTGAGGAGTAATATGAAGCAAGCTGTCAGAGACAAGACCTACGAGCACTGTTTTGTTGAGTCGGGTATCTATGGACTAAAGAGGGGAAGGAGAGGCAAATGCATAGCACTCAATCTTGACTGTAATTTGACTCGGACATGTGTTTGACTGATTTGGATTTGAAAGGATAAATTGTAATTTTCGTGGAATTTAGAGGTTGCATCTACTTACCGGGACCAAAGACTATACATAAATTAATTACATGTAATAAGCGAGACTGTGAGCTTGCGATCAGTGAGCGCACGCCAGCGTGTGATTGCCGCAGCTTCCGGCTTTGCTTTACCTAGAAGTAATGGTGGAAGCTGCATCACATGATGGGAGCCGCTGAGAATGCAGAGCTGTGATGGGCTCAGCACGAAGATAGTGCCAATTCACGCCGTATTTGAAAGTTCCTGGCACATTGTTATCAGCCGTATGCACATTTGGGTTATATATGCCAGCATGTTTTTGAAGGTGCTACATTAAGAGAAAAGGTTGCATATTGAAACCGGTAGTTTGTAACCAGGGCTTCTCATGCAGTGTTCAATGAAACGTCAAATCTCAAGGTTATGTGCGCACGTACGGAAGAGGCCTTTTGCATGTAGAAATGGCCTCAATGAGAGGAGGGAGTTGAACTCAATACCTCAACTACCTAGGTAGATGCAATGCCTACAGCAGGAATTAGGCAACCCTCCTACCGAGACACGTTCGGTAACGCGACTAACGATTGTTGTGGACTTGACCAGCTTGTTCCTCGTCAAGATGAATGATCGCTGTGTTGTTGTTGACATGCTGTCTACTGCTGTGACGAACGATCATCGTGCAGCTGGTGATGGACAAAATTGGGGTTTACATTCAATTGTCGCACTTTGATGCGGAGCATTATCCGATGGTTTGAGGTAAATGACACTTTGAAATTCTTATCGTCCAGCGATAATTCTCCCAACTACTAGATATGCTCATATCACGAATAATCGACTGAAGCCCTCTTCCGCTGTGTATTCTCACAGCTGCATCTGCCAGCTCAACTGTCAATCGGTTCAACAGCACCAGATCGCCTGACATAGAACTGCGCAGTAGAGAAGACATGCTCTTCTTATAAGCGACTTCCAATCATCAGTGCTGAAGGCTTCGCGCTTATCCATACGACCAAGCAACATGGTATGTTCAGAATAATCCTTCTTCTTGTCCTCGTAATATTTCCTGCTTCGTCAGGTGTAGGTGACTTGGGTTGTTCTCTTGTTGTCACTGCGTACCGCTAATTGGAATGTTGCTGAGAACTTCTTTGTGAAGTCAGGCTGACTCTGTTTGAGGTCGTGTTCCGCCTCTTTGTGAAGTCAGACTGATTCTGTTTGAGGTCGTGTTCCGTCTCTGTGCTATCGGCCATCTGTTGCTCCGGCGCTGCGTTGAGTTTACTGCTGTTTCTTAGTTCCCCGCCTAGACCAGGGCAAAGACTTTACGGCAAGTCCGGTCGACGCATAAAGTCAGCCCTTCATTCCCCAACCCTCTGGACGCGCGCAAGAGATCATCTTGGGGTGGGCTGCTGTAGCCGCGAGACTTCACGCGTAGTCCCGAATACTCCACCGGCTTCCAATCGTCAGTGCTGAACGCTTCGCTCTGTGAGACTGAGGTCAATCGAGCTGGGTAGTTCAAGCAACCCGGTAATTTGTGGGACTCTCCCCCCTCGAAGCCCCGCGAACCCTTCTTAGATGTGCCGAGCCCAATACGTTCTCCTACTGCATCCCCCTATGCAGTCACTTCATAAAGGGCAGGTGTCACCATGTCTGGTCTGATCTAGGTTGGATGTTTCAAATCGATCGAAGAAGAAAAACGGCTGCACGAAGCGAGCCATTTCGACCTCTTCAAGTCCTGACGAATCGGTCGAAGAAAAAACGGCTGCACGAAGCGAGCCATTTCGACCTCTTCAGGTCCTAACGGATTCATACCTAATGAATCGAAACCCGACGAGTTAGTCATAAACGTACAGAGATTGACCACGGCAAGCACTACCACAGTCCCCAGAAGCTGAAAATGAGCACTAACGAGGAGATGATTCTGACGATGCCGAAGATGGCGGAGAGTAAACATGAGCTGTGGGAATCCAGGTTGATGATGACGCGTCACGTCGAGGAAGCGAAAAGTATGATGCGGAGAAGGCGCGCGCGGGGCCGAAATGGGCAGCTGTCGTTGTCGCCAAACGATACGGACACTGGAAGAGATGGACATTGTTGGAATTGGCCAAGTGCTCGATGATGTGGAAGTCAGGTTTGAGTATGGCGTGGGCCAGCCAATCCTGCCCTGCTATTTTCAGGGCATCTCGTCCGCCAACGCAAAGAAGCCAATAAACTTATGCAAGTATGGTCCCTGATGTCCCCTTTATCGCTACGCCATAAAACTCGTCTGCTCAGAGGAGTCCATCACAGACGCGACGCCTACCCCCTGGGTGTGCTCGAGCCCACGAGGATCTCCATCACCTTTCGACAAACTGTTCCATCGAGGGAATTGTATCGACCATAGAGAGCCCACCGTCCCATTGAGCAGAATGATCCAAGGCCTGGTGACCGAACCTATCACATCGACTGGGGGGCGGATGGAAGCAAAGCTGAAAGCCAGCCCCGAGGATAACTACAAAAAGAAGATGAATGCTGGTGTTTTGGAGATTGGAGCTTCGTATCTCGGATGCAATCGGGAGGTTGTCATTCAAAAAGAGGTAGTAGTCGCCCTGGTCCGCGCCTACAAACTTTGGTCGTTCGTATATATAGATATACCTATAAGAGGTAGCTGGCACCAGGTTCTTTCCAGACTCAGAGGGGCGTATAAATATTAGTATTTTAGAGATTAGAGCCTTAGTTACTGCTTAAAAAAGAGATTATAGTCGCCCTGGCCCGCACATATAAGCTTTGGTCGTTCGTATATGTGGATATGCCTATAAGAGGTGGCCGGCGCCAGGTTCTTTCCAGACTCGGAGGGGTGTATAAATATTAGTAATTTGGAGATTAGAGCCTTGGTTACTGCTCAAAAAAGAGGTCGTAGTCGCCCTGGCCTGCGTATACAAGCTTTGGTCGTTCGTATATGTGGATATGCCCATGACATACAGCCGACGCTAGTTTCTTTCCACACTCAAAGGAAACTATTGTGTGGATAAGCCTACATGAGGTAGCTGACGCGAGGTTCTTCCCAGCTCGAAGGAACTATCGTGTGGTCCCTGACTCGGAGGGGATCATGGAGATGTCCATGAGAAGCAACTGATACGAGGTGTTCCCAGCTCGAAGGAACTACCGTGTAGATATGTCCACGAGAAGTAGCCGACGCGAGGTTCTGCCCAGCTCGGAGGGGAGCATGGATGCTGGTGCACTAGAGATCGGAGACTTGGACCTCTTGTTACCTACTTGCATGCGTGCCAGTCCAAGCTATCGCATATAGCCGAGATCTGAATTACGGTTTGGAAAAAGGAAGCGCCATTTCCTCCAGGCTTTCGGACATTGGGTGTGACTCTTTCAGCTCAGGAATCAATCGAAGATCGTCATTAATTCGATTCTCGGTTGGTCTCAGAGGAGCCTCCCACAGGTTCCAGCCCGCAACCTTGTACGTGCTGACAGTGGCGAAGCCAATCCTTGCAGCTTTCGGACACTGGGTGTGATTCTTTCAGCCCAGGAATCGATTGAAGATTCTTATCGGCAAGACTTTCGAATAGTATCGGATGAGGCTGTCACAGGTTCCAGCCTGTAGCTTTTTACATTTTGAAAGTAGTGAGATCAATCCTCGCAAAAGATACCATCTGGTCCCTTTCTTTGTTCTCCGCGTATGCTCTGCGCATGTCGGCTAGATGTAAGTCGAGGGTTCGAATTGCTGTATTCTTTTCGTTGATGTCCTGGTTTGAAGGCCAAGGTACTTGCATTGGAAGGAGCCATCATGAATAAAGGCTGACGATGGCTCAACGCCTACGTATGATACAGCTTTCTTTGAAGCCAAGTAGGCGAGGTCTGACGAGAAGCGTAGGCTTGGGAGGGTATTTGGTCTTTATAAGGACTCGGTTGTGTGATGACGAAGGCAATGATGTACGATAGATAGAAGGAATGTATGTGCGATGTGGGATTGACTTGAAGCTGGGTGGTCAAGTCGGGTCAGGCAGGTCTTTAAATAAAAGCAAGGCAGCATTTCAGGGTTTATGAGGGGAGTCACCGACCAAAGAGTCGTCATACCGGTGTAAGTTAGCATTGTTGCCTATTGACATTCTATGTATCCGGGCGCTGATCTTGTAGTAGGGCAAAATTGCCGAAGTTTGTTCATGTGTCGTGGTGCTGAGTTGAGTGTTGAAAGCAGCCTTTTAAGGTTTATGAAGAGAGTATATCCGCGAAAGGGTCATCATACCTCACGTAAATTAATATTGTTGCCTGTTGCTATGCTGGGCATTGGTCTTCTGGTGGGGCAAAATTGTTGAAGTTTATTGTGATGTAGTGCGGTGTTGGGCGTTGAAAACAGCCCTCTGTTTGGCTGGGCGTTTCCCACGTGTCGCCATGCTCCCGCGATAAAGATGCTTACATTCCTAGGCATATCTTGGCTAGCGATAACGAGTGGGTGGTGCAGCGCAGAGGGAGAGAGGCGGAGAAGGGAAAAGAGAAAGAAAGGGAGACGGAGAGGGTGGAGAGGACAGGAAAAGGAACCGAAGGAGAAGTGGCCACGCACATATGACGAATTGATCGTAGCTCCAGAATGGGAGTCGGTTTGTCGCCGGTAAGATTCACCCAAACTGTAAGCGACCAACTCACTCGGGAGCGCCATGAGAGACATGACGGTGTATTTGTCAGATATTAAGTAAATTAGACACGTCGGCGGTTGTGAGAGTTATGCTCTGTAACAGTTGATCTCTCTTATGGCTCTCACGATCCCTATATACTACCTCATATAAGGGTGACGGCCCACCAAAGCCGACAATATTAATATTGTAGTCGAAACATGGCTCAGGTGAGACATTTTTTGATAGCACCTCGCCTGCAATGCTAAGGGCAATAGAACCCGATACACCAAGGAGCCCGGTGGTTTGTGGAACACAACTTTCTGAAAAGCATATCGAGTCGAAATGAAACCTCACATGAAGGGTCGAGGAGAATAGAACCAGATCACAGAGACTGGTAGTTTGTATGACTCATGTTCTGAAAGAGCCTGTTGAGTCGAAATGAAACCTCACCTCAAAGGTTGAGGAGAACAAAACAAGATCACTAAAACTAGTGGTGTAGAGACTCATGTTCTGAAAGAGCCTTCGCGAATGATGTGTGTCGTCTTTAGTTGGTTGAAGAGATAAAATTGTGTCTCAATACCGTTATCGGAAAGTGATATGCTGGGTGATGAGCATTGACATTGCGATATATTCGCAAGGTGAGCGGCACGACCTGCTCTGCTCTGTTCAACTTCCTTCTAGATCCCAAATACTTGATTACCATAATTCCCGAGAACAAATAGTAATCGAGTATATGACCATCTGTTGAGTCGAAATAAAAGTCTCGCATGTAATACTGAGGGCAAAAGAACCAAATATCCCAAGAGCCGGTAGTGTGTGGGACTCAAAAGCCTATCGAGTCGAAATAAAAGCCTCACCTGAAAGGTTGGGGAGAAGAAAACCAGATCCCCAGGGAAACTGGTGGTTTCTGGGACTCGGGTTTGCAAGAGTCTATCGAGTCGAAATGAAAACCACGCCTTGACCATACAGTCAGGTAACAGTGCGGGTTCGGGAAAGTCTTTCTTTAATACTCGTAGTGTTCTCAGGCTGCTTCATCAAGGCCGGGGACATCGTATCGATTTCTCTTGTTGCCACTGTGTACCGCTAATCGGAAGGTTGTTAAGAACTTCTTTGTAACGTCGGGTTGACTGGGTTCCGTCTCTGCGCTACCAGCCATCTGTTGTTCCGGCGCTGCACCACGCCTTGGTCATACGGTCAAGCAACAGTGTGAGTGTTCTCAGGCTGCTTCATCAAGGGTAGGGGACATCGTATCGATTTCTCTTGTCTCCACTGTGTACCGCTAATCGGAAGGTCATTAAGAACTTCTTTGTAACGTCGGGTCAACCTTGTAGGTCAGGTTCCGTCTTTGTGCCATCAGCCATCTGTTGTTCCGGCGCTGCACCACGCCTTGGCCATAAGATCCAGCAACAGTGTTAGTATCCTCAGGCTGCTTCGTCAAGGATAGGGGCCTTGTGTTGATTTCTCTTATTACCGCTGTATACCGCTAATCAGAAGGCTGTCAAGAACTTCTTTATAAAGTCAGGTTAACTCTATTTAAGGTCGGGTTCTATCTCTGTGCTTTTGCCATCTGTTGCTCCGGCGCTGTACCACGCCTTGGCCATCATGTCAAGTAACAGTATGAGTTCAGAATGATCCTTCTTCGTAGTGTTCTCAGGCTGCTTCGGCAAGGGTAAGTGCCTTGTGCTGATTTCTCTTGTTGCCACTGTGTACTGCTAATCGGAAGGTTGTTCAAGAACTTCTTTGTGAAGTCGGGTTCAAATGGGCAAGGGCGACAAAGCCTGATACCAACACCAGCGATCCGAAGTGCGCTGGCTCAATAAAGGCGATAATGCACCATGGTAGCTGGGAAGCCTTGAGCTTTATGTGTTGTGTTCGGATTGACGAACGAGGAAAAAGGGCAGTTTTTGAAGTCATTCGACGCGCGGCTCGTCCTGGTGACAACTGAGTCATCGGTATGAAGGTTTACAGACGTTTCCTTCCGCGTGACTGCAGTCATGGGCTACCGAAGCTTGTATTTGCCTTTCGTATTCGTTGTGTTGAGATGTCCGGTCGGGCGCATTCTATTGCTGTTCTTAACCTCGTCCTCAAACCCCCACCATGTTCCATACCGAATAAGAAGTACCGTCGCACGAAGCGAGCCAAGTGGTTTTTACGGCAGCGACGGGCAAGTAACATATAATTCCCCGTATATTAAGAAGTGAGAGCGGTGAAGGCAAGGGACTGTTGTATACAGCGATGAGCAGGACGTGGAGAGGAGCGGAAAGACCATTGTTATTCTGCAATGACTTTAAAGGCAGGCGATGGTGAAGAGGGACTCACGAGTGCCCGACTGCTGGCCAACAACTTCCGAGTACAGTGCTAGCTACACACTGATATTAACATATACACTGTATCTCCTTTAGCAATCTGAAGGCCTAAATTATAGCGCTCTTGAACTGTAGCTTCCAACTGACCTCATGAATTAGCCCCTGCTCGAGATATCCTCCTCATATGCCTGAGCTCTAAGAGGTGCGACTCTTGAGGAGGGAAGGTAGGTGCTTATGTGTAGGTAGCATACACAAACACAGAGGACGGATGGCGATTTTTGTCACCAGGCCTCAGATTCTGCGTACATTTGTTCCGTCGCTAAGGTGTTGAGATTCAGCACGAAGCACAACATGTAAGAACCTTGATTATGTCCCTATCTCGAATTTGCGCTTTCTCGAAGGCAATATTTGCTAGTATAAATTGCTTTACGTTGACCTAGCTGGTATACACTAGACCGGAACTACTATTTCTACTCAATCACGACCTGGGTGGCCGCGCAAAAGAGGCATACCTTATGTAGTAGTTCAGAATTCTCCCAACCAGCCCTGTACAACTGGTGGCGCGGTTGTCAAAAGGACCCTTGTCCATAGCTGGTTACGCTTCGCGCTAACTTGAAGGCCTGGGTTTTTTTTGCAGGCGTCTGGTGTTCGAATCCCAGGTCTGCAGTAAGGTGGTCTTTTTTTTTTCTATCTTTTTTCCTTTTGCCAGGTGCGATAAATAGCTAGTGGCTCTACCAAGTATTGCTTCATTTTAGGAACTGCTACCTCGTAGATTGTACTTCGTTAGGTTAATTAGGTAGCACCCATATACGAATATCAGTAAAGTACGTGATGCCCGTCCAACTCTCATTCGACCGGTTTTATACTCTTACTTCCAAGCTCCCCAATTTACTACGTTGAACGCCTAATACTAGAGCGCAATGCTAGTGTAGCACTGCCTGTGTGACTCACACGGATGGTTGACTATGTTACTAATGGCCTAGCAGTTGTGTCTTGACCTTCCCTTCTGTCGTCCTTGTTCAACTTCCGGATCGGAGATACAGGGTAGGTAGCGCTAAGTGCTCCAGGTCAGAAAGAAGGAGAAGCTCATCTGCTGACTAAGCCCTAGCTTTCCTGACTGAAGTCGGTTTATCCCATTGACAGGCGAGGCAATTAAAGAGATTTACCATATTTGCTATATCTCTTTTTCCCAATTTTTTTTTTGAAGCGGTGGATGTGGCATGGGTGAAACACATCAGGTCCAGGTAGCTGACATCAAATGACATTGAGGGGGCGCGTCAAATTACCGCTCTCCCAGACTCTCAGCTCCCATGCCAGCGATGCGCAGGCGTATCAAGGCTAGGCAGGGAGCCTCGACAGCAAAGAGGAGGAAATGATACCATCTCAATGGAAACTTTCCTTCCACGCTCATTGAGCCGTTGGGCAACGGATGGAGCAAGCTCCTGAAGCAACAAGGGCGTCTGGCCTGTGCTTGGCCGCGCTAAATCGTCAGATCAGATCAGATGAGTGGGCTGACACCTCCAGCGCTAGAAATTACCTTGTACGTTAATTTTTTCGATTGAAAGATGGAGACACAGCAACAGAACTCCCGCTAACGGCCATTGGCTGATGGTCACTTGACTCTCAGCTGAATGCCAGTCAAACTACCTATAAAGCAGAATGCAGCGGGACAAGGTGCCATCTCAGCCGAGACATGACGTCGAAGCTGTTGGCCATTGCGACTCATCTTTGTCGCGCGACATTTCAAAATCACGGCGCATCTTCGTGCTAATC